CTCTCTGCTGGAATAACTTCCTTTCCACAGGTTATCTGTCCCAACAGCTTTGGGAGAATCCACCCAGTTTATCCATGCAGCTCTAGGCTAAGGGTCAGCAAGATCAGTGTCCCTTTCCATGATTTTGTTCTTAATGGCAAGCTAGGAATGCCACACTCACAGCTGTACAAGGGAATTGATTTTTAAATGTTGATGAAGAATTATCTTTTATTGTTCTGTTTGCAAGCCTCTGGCCTACTTTCTCTTAGAATTTCTGCCTTGGTGTCTAGTGTTTTCTGCAGCAGTACAGAAATTACATCTACAATGTTCTTTCCAGCAAGCTGGTTCACTTCAGACATCTGTTGTGGTTTGTATTTTGTAAACTTAATGTAAATATTAACATGAAGCACCTAATTGTGCTTTTTTGGGSATCTGCTTTGACAAAACAGGTAATAAAAAGTCAAATGTCTCCTKTTTTAGAAGCAAATTGTTTGCCTTCTTGCTTTCTAAAAAACAAAATGTTAGGTTAGTTGTTTGGTTAAATGTAAGTATACTTCATTCTTCGTGTAATGCATGCTTATTCCTCTTATTATTTGAGGACACGTGATGCCACTATAACCTAATTTTTAAGAGGTAGAAGTACTCCTGAAATAATTCTAAAGTATGATGATATAAGATGGAATTATGTTCTCCTTTCCAGTGTCATTTTAATATCACTGTTATTTCTGCTCAGTATGGTGTGATGGTTCTGCATGCCAACACCTTAGAGTGACATCATCTACCATGATTCCTCATTCCATATTTTTCCTGCCTGAAAATTCTCCCATTTCCAAATTAAGTGAAAAAGTTTGCCATCATCTCCATTTATCTTATCATCTCTCATCAAAATCTCTGTGAGGACCTGTAGTTATAATGCATTGAATGCTGGATGTTGGGTTAGAAAACCTAGAAAAGCACACACCAGCAATTATCTACCTGGAAATATTTTTTATAAACTAGTGAAATAATTAAGAATGCAAAGTGGGCTGCAGAGGATTATTTAAAGTGGTATCTAAATGTCTGACACTGTTTTTTTTTTCCAAGAAGACTCACAGCTTTTYTCTAATARCCTGTCAGACCATATCCCAGATRAGACTGGGAATAAAAYTTTCAAATATTTCCCTKTTGTGTCAGTTTCTASCCAAARCAGGAATGACAGGAYTCAAACTCTGAYTTGGAAGAACACCAYCAGTATGACAYCTTTTTGGTTTTAAGAGGATCTTAGATAATATATGGCATTAAAAATATTTGTAACTTATATTAGATGCCTCTGTTGTGGTGGAGAAATTTTACTAATTACTATTCCAGGAATACTGGAGGTTGGTGAGAAAGAAAATAAAACAAATAATCAAGCCTATCAACCTGGAGTTGGTGAATGGCTGTAGTGAGTTTTCATATAAATTGCAGTGTTGATGCACTGTTTAAACAGCATCCATATTTTTTCACAGAAAAATTTTGCTMAGCAGCAGAGAAATTTGTATGTTAYRGCAATTTGGGTGGGAATCTCAGTGGGATTTTGGGAGAAAATTTAGTTTGCAGTTGTGCACCTCAGTGTGGGCATGTTTGGTCTGACAAGCATTATTTTCACATATAAAATGCATTATAGGACATCAGAACTTGCTGTTTCATTAACCCTGACACTGCAGCATCGCATTTTGCTTTCCATGTACTAAATGGAAAAAGGAAAATATGGTTGTGTGGTAGTTTTTGCAGCAAAGAAAACCACTTAGGAAGTCATTGAAATGACACCAACCTGACAGAGCTCAAGAAGCATTTGCACAATACTCTGGGGCACATGGTGTGACTTTTGGGAATGGTGCTGTGGCAGGGCCAAGAGTTGGACTCAATGGTCCTCACGGTTTCCTTCCCCACAGAATATTCTGTGGTTCTGCCAGCTTTCCAACACCCGGACATCACTTACAGCTTGTTGAATGCTTGATTAGATCTCCCTTCCAGCCGACACAAAGGTCAAACAACAACAAACCTTTTCCTACGGAAATTTCCACACATTCCCAGTTTCTCCAACAAGGGAGCGGCCTGAGGGGACGGACTACATTTCCCGTGATGCTTTGCGCGGCGCGGCGGAAATACGTCATCCTCGGTGGCCGCGGGAAGGCGCCCGGCGTGCCCTCAGCATGGCGGCGATGCGAGCGCTGAGGGCGGCGGGGCAGCGGCGGCCGGGACTCGGCCCCGCCGGGCTCAGGGCGTTCTGGGGCGGCCGCAGGTACCCGCAGGGCACGGGGGTACAGTAGGGGTGGTTTGTGGGCTGCTCTTCATGCTGGGCTTTCACCGGTTCGTGGCTCTCTGGAGGTCATTTAGCTC